TGTGATGTGATTTATCTGTGTTCAATGATGAACTTCTTGTCAACCAGGCCACCTGGAGCCCGGGCGACTTGGTGACCAGTGAACCAGGGAGCTCTAATCAGGCTCCTCTCTGTCTCATGGCATGACCTCAGGGAGGTTCCTTAGCCTATTTTTGACTCTGTTTTCTCATATATGGATTGGGAAAAATTACTGTGTAATGTTTTTCTACTAGAGTATGATCTTAAAAGTTTCTCAACTGAAACTGTTTCTAATTTAAACTCTGCAGTTACTGGCATTGCAGAATCAATGATAAAATCAGAATTGCTGAGTATACAATATGGTATATTATTTTCTCTAAAATATTCCTGCTGTATTTTCCTTGAAGTGTTTACAAACCAGGCTTGGTGGCTCAGCCTGTAATCCTAGCACTTTGGGAGGCTGAAGCAAGTGGATTGCCTGAGTCTGCGGGTTCAAGACCCACCTGGGCAACTTGGTGAAACCTTGTCTTTACAATAAATTAAAACATTGAGCTAGGTGTGATAGTGCACCCCTGTAGCTCTGACTACGTGGAAGGCTGAGGTGGAAGGATCACCAGAGCCCAGCAGGTAGAGGCTGCGATGGCCGGGAGCATGCCACTGTACTCCAGTCTAGGCGACAGAGTGAGACTCCAACTCAAAAAAAAAAAATAAGTATATACAAAATGTATTATGAAAACAGATTTCTACTTTTATTTTTACTGCAGCTAAAGAGTAAATACTTGATCTAAGCATTTCCAAATTCATCATAATAAAGTAGAAAGGATTTTAAATAGAATTGATACGGATTCTAACACCTGACTACTCTAGATTATTAGTTCAGTGACCTTTCTGAGGCAGAGATTCCTTTATCTACACAATAAAAGTAACACATTTTACTATATAGAGTTGGTGTAAGGGTTTTTAAAAAAAGATTATATGGGGGAAGGGGGCTTATGTCATATGTCTGGTTCTCAACAAAGGCTAGTTAAATGACTTCTTCCATAAAAAATGCTGTTAACAGCCAGGCTCGGTGGCTCAGCCTGTAATCCCAACACTTTGGGAGGCCGAGGCAAGTGGATTGCCTGAGCCTGTGGGTTCGAAACCAGCTCAGGCAACTTAGCGAGACCTCATCTCTACAATAGATAAAAAAAATTAGCCAGGTGTGGTAGTGTGTGCCTGTAGTTCCAGCTACTTGGAAGACTGAGGCAGAAGGATCACTGGAACCCAGCAAGTTGATGCTGGAGTGACTGTGAGTGTGCCACGGCACTCCAGCCTGGGTAACGGAATGAGACTCCAACTCAAAAAAAAAAAAAAAAAAAATGCTGTTAATAGACTGAAAGTCGTAGGTTTAAACCAAAAGTTGACCACTTAAAGAAAGATATTTAAAGTAATGCACATTATTAAGATTTTGATATATTGTCTAATAAAGCTAAAAAAATTGCTCTTAGGTAAAGACATAAAACATTAGCCTGTCGAAATGAAAGTGTTTCCTCCTAAATGTAAAAATAAACATTTAAAATATAATTCTAGGACCAGGCACAGTGGTTCACACCAATAATCACACCGATTTGGAAGGCTGAGACAGGAGGATCATTTGAGGCCAGGAGTTTGATTTTGTGTTTTTTTTTTTTTAGTTGGAGTCTCACTCTGTTGCCCAGACTGGAGTGCAGTGGCCGCTCCCAGCCATCACAGCCTCGTCCTGCTGGGCTCCGGCGATCCTTCCGCCTCAGCCTTTAAAGTAGCTGGAACTACAAGTGCGCACTACCACGCCTGGCTGATTTTTGATTTATTGTAGAGATGAGGTCTTGCCAAGTTGCCCAGGCGGGTCTCGAACCCAGGGGCTCAGGCAATTCACTCACCTCAGCCTCCCAAGGCACGGGGTTACAGGCTGAGCCACTGAGCCCGGCTGAGGCCAGGAGTTTGAAATCAGCCTGGGCAATATAGCAAGGCCCTGTCTCTACAAAAAAAAAAAAAATTTTGTTTTAAATTAGCTGAGTGAGAGAGCACATGTTTGTAGTCCAAGCTACTCAGGGGGCTGAGGCAGGAGGATTGCCTGAGCTCAGGAGGTCCAGGCTTCAGTGAACCGTGATTGTGCCACTGTACTCTCTAGCCTGGCCAACAGAGAAAGATACCATCTCTAAAATGAAAATAAAAAACACTTTAAAAAAATACATATAATTTTCTAAGGTACTATGAAGGCCTCTGGTTTTTTTTTAATTAGCAAAAGAATGAGGGTAATAGGGAGTGTATGAATTTTTGCATCAGAGATTTGGTTTGATCATGCCTTTATATTGGAATAATAATATCTGTCTCTAAAGGTTGTTAAAGGAATTGAAAGAGGTATGAAAAGCACCTGGCACATGTATTAAGATCTATTTCCCTCAGTGTTGTTCATACTTTTGCTAATTTCATAATATTACATGTTAAGATCAAATGAAAACCAATAGTACCTCAAATGACCAGACCAATAACCTGCCACATGCATTCTACTTCTATAGAGAGACCGTGTACGTAGTAAAACCATACTCAATAAATCTCTGACTGCTATACCATCAGGGCAGCCAAACTGTTCAGGAAAAGAAATTCCTGCTTCAAGACTTGTTAAAGAAGCCTGTGTTATTCGTTCAAGTCTTCCTGCACGTGGCTTTTGGCTGCCTTTCTCGCTAGTGACCCTGGATTTTAACTAATGAACTCCAGCTGTTCTTATTTTGCCTTTCAGCCCTTCTCATTTAACCTCCCATCTCCCTGGTCTCACATCCTTCAAGTTCTTACAGGAAAAATGGGACTGTGCCAAAGTTTTCAAATGAAACCCCGTGCCTTCTTGAGGGGAGAGGGCTCACCTAACAAGGGCTCCAAGCTTTTACCCTGATGGAAAAAGAAGCATTCGTTGTTGGAAGTTGGATACCTGATGACCTCCAAGGTGTCAAAAATCTTTTTGTGGTTTTTAATATCATACAAGCAAAGTGTTCAGTAGTTCAGTAAGGTAAGTTCATAAAACACACCGAGAAAGCGTACAGTTGAATGCTAGATGTAATTGTAAACACCTGCAAGGCAGAGGCAATTCCTGGGTAAACATGCAATGGAAGAAACATTTTGCAGACAGTACAATATGGACCCGGCTTTTCCAAACCATGCTGAGAACGATCTGTTAGCAAAACTGGCAAAAGTTTTCTCTGTTACAGTGAAATGGCAACCTGGGAAACGTGGCTATGGGCAAAATTGGCGCAAAATCAACCTTAAGCAATTGGCAAACTCAAACAGCAGTAAGCAAAGATTTCTGTTATGTTCTGAGACATGCTTTAACCTATCCACATATCTCTTTCCAAATTGGATCATTCTTTCATGGGTCCACTAATAACTACATTAGAAAATGCAGCTTTCATTATATTAAACACTTAAACCATCCTTTCCCAGAATGCACCTGATCCTACCAGGATAAATCTCTGTCTACACTGATATCCATTTGGCCATTCCACTTATACTCAGAATAATTTCCCAGGGGCTCTGGAAGACTTTTGAAAAGGGTATCAAATTCAGTTATAAACTCATTTTCTGAATTGCTTTCTCCATGGCTGTTTGCATAACCCATGCTTCCAAGCTCAGTGCAACATCTACTGATGCCATCAGCCGCACTGAGATGAGCATGTTCTCAGTTTACAATGTCCTTGATAGACTTGTTATGACTTGAATCATCTGCACTGCAGAGATTGAAAGTGACTTAGAACAAAGAGCAGGACTTTCTCTTCTCACCCTTCATCATACCCAGTAATACACTTGCATCTAGAATGCCCAGTAAGGAAGGAAAGATACACAGTTTAAAAGGTGAGAAAATAAGACCAGAGAAGTGCCCCTTCTCCAGGTTTTTGCTGAAATCGACAGCAATCCCATCATCCTCTTGTTTCAAATGGCTTATGTCATAAGGGTTAATAAATTGTAGTTTTAATGATTAATTTTTACTCTGTTGGCTTCTTGATTTTTTGTTTTGTTTTGTTTTGAGTTAGTGTCTCACTCTGCCACCCAGGCTGGAGTGCAGTGGCATGATCACAATCATGGCTCATCGCAGCCTCCATGTCCTGGGCTCAAGCAATCCTCCCGCCTCAACCTCCGAAGTAGCTGGGACTAGAGGTGCATGCCACCATGCCTAGTTAATTTTTTAAAAAAGTTTTGTAGAGATGAGATATCATTATGTTGCTCAGGATTTGATTTTTATATTATAAATTATTAGTTGTCTTAATGGTGAACAAGACATCTCCAGGAGAAAGAAGAATGAAATAATAATAGTCATTTGTTGAACTCTGAAAATGGACTTTGTGATAGTTGATGGGTATATTCTCGTTTAATTCTCATAACAACTCACAAAATAGGTACTATTATTTTCTTCTTTGTGCAATAAACTGAGTCTTAAGTAGGCAAAGGAATCCACCCAACATCATACCATATTGTACTGAAGTCATGTGGTGGAAACCTAAGTTCACACCAGATTCCTCACCCATCTGCCATACTATCTGGGGCACAGAAAAAAATATAGGCACAGCACTAAAAATGCATGCCTTCCAGAGTTTTTCAAGTACTGCCTAAACAACATGTTATGTTCAGGCACATTTCCCACTAAGAATTCATGTGATTATATTTTTTCTCCTGTATTGGAATTTTCTGGCATTATATAAATATAGCCTTGGCCCTAGCATGAGGCCAAACATGAGGAAAGTATTAGTAATTACTCACAGAGTTCATGCTTTTGGTCAAGTGATATAATCATTTTCAATCTTAATTTCCTCAAGAATAAATAATAAAATAGTATAAATGCTCTTGAAAAGTATGTATGAAGAATAAAATTGTAACCATAATCTATTATTACATGTTATATTATGTTTATAATATAACATTGTAATTATAATATTCTCGATGTGTCAAAAATAGATGCTGAATGGATATGCACAATGCGTTTTTTACCAAGTCAAGGACTCAAAACAGGTCTGTTGGGTCCATTTTTACTGTTCTTACCTTCTCTGATGGCTGTGAATGGGACTCCTTCCTCTGCATTCATGCTGATGACTTTTAAAGCCACGAGTTGTCCATTTATTCTAGAAAAGAAGGAATGAGCGGCATATACTTATTGAACCAATTACACTAAAGATGGCTTAACAAAAGTTGTCTTTCAAAAATAGGTTTCAGCATGTGAATTTACAATTTTCTTAAAATAAACTTTTATCAGCTGGGCTTGGTGGCTCAGCCCGTAATCCCGCACCTTGGGAGGCTGAGGTGAGTGGATTGCCTGAGACTGTGGGTTCGAGACCCGCCTGGGCAACTTGGCAAGACCTCATCTCTACAATAAATCAAAAAATTAGCCGGGCGTGGTAGCGTGCGCCTGTAGTTCCAGCTACTTGGAAGGTTGAGGGGGAAGGATCGCCAGAGCCCAGCAGGTCGAGGCTGCGGTGGCCAGGAGCGGCCACTGCACTACAGTCTGGGTGACAGAGTGAGACCCCCAACTCAAAAAAAAAAATAAAAAAATAAAAATAAACTTTTATCTATCTGTCTATCTATTCCAAAGCATTTTTCTCTTTACTAAAGTGATATATATCCATTATAGAAAAATTTATGATGTCAGTATTTCCAACGTGTGTTACTCAGATTACTGCTCTGTGAAATTCTCCCCTCACCTGACCCCCAAAATTTCTGGCCAATTATGTTTAGAAAATGCTTTATACTTTCTTAATCTTAATGTTTCTTAGTCGTAATATACATTACCATTTTTTTTTCTTTTTGAGTTGGAGTCTCACTCTGTCGCCCAGACTGGAGCGCAGTGGCCGCTCCCGGCCACCGCAGCCTCGACCTGCTGGGCTCCGGCAATCCGTCCGCCTCAGCCTTCCGAGTAGCTGGAACTACAGGCGCGTGCTACCATGCCCGGCTCATTGTGATTTATTGTAGAGATGAGGTCTCGCCAAATTGCCCAGGCGGGTCTCAAACCCGCAGGCTCAGGCAATCCACTCAGCCTCCCAGGTGCGGGATTACAGGCTGAGCCACCAAGCCGGGCTTACATTACCATTTTTAAATGCTGAAAGCACCTGCAATAAAGACTCTCATTTGATTTTATCCTAGGGTTCTCCATATGGATTTGGCCATAGTAACTGTTTTCAATGAAACATCTAACAAGGTTTCTCAGAATTGAGACTCCCTGAAACATACTTGGGTAGATGGCACATGGATGCTTCTGATTTTCCCTTGTGGGTTCTAACTTGAGAGTTTTGCATAGACAGACCTTTCTGGCCCAAAGGTTACCCAGAATTCACTTATCTTTTCTTCTAGTTCTTGTAAGCTTTCTTTTTCATTTAACTCCTCAATTCATTGGGAATTCATAGTGTATATTCACTTTTTCAAAATGGCTAACAATTGTTCCAACTCTGTTTATTGAATTTTCTTCTTTTCCCTGATGATTTGAAATGCCACCATGATTATATATTAGATCTCACTAATACTTGGATTTGTGACTATTTTATTCAACTTTTGATGGTTTTTTTGGTTTTGTTGTTGTTTTGAATCAGGGTCTCACTCTGTTGCCCAGGCTAGAGGGCAATGGCATCTTCCCAGCTCATTGCAGCCTTGACCTTTTGGGCTCAAGTGATCCTTTCACACCCAGCTAATTTTTTACTTTTTGTAAAGACAAGGTCTCGCTATATTGTCTAGGCTGTTCCCAAACTTTTGGCCTTAAGCGAGTCTCCTGCCTCAGCCTCCCAAAGTGCTGGGATTATAGGCATGAACCACCATACCTGACTATTCTAAAGTTTTAAAAATCACGTTTCTTTGATCTGTCTTTTCTTATACTCTTGCTGTGTGGTTTTAATTATTGTAGCTTTAGAATATATTTAGAATACATGAAAACTCTAAATGAGAGAATCATTAACATCTTTGCACTCAGGTTTTCTAATCCAAATATCCTGTACTCACAACAGCCCCTGGAACTGTCATCATACAAGACCCTGTACAACTCTCTCCCTGACCCCGCAAACCTACACACAGCTCCTCCCTGTCCTCATCTCCTTCCACTGTCCCCCTCCAATGCCAGGGCTGTTCCTGCCTCAGGGACTTTTGACTTGCTGTTCCCTCTGCCTGGAGCCACCTTCCCCTGTTCATGCACACAGCTGCTCCTCTCGCATCAGATTCTCTGTTCAGGTGTGTTCTCCCGGGAGGCGTTCCCTTATCACTCTATTTAAAACTGTAACCTACTACCCCACTCTGGCTCTCCCTATCTCCCTTCCCTGTTTTATTCTTTTCAACTTTTAGATTCTAGAACTGTTCACCCTTTGACAAACTCAGTGTCTTGCTAATTTGTTTATTGTTTATCTCGCTCCCACTAGAATGTACCCTTCATAAGAGTAGGGATATCAATCTCCTCCTCAATGTACCCCTATTGGCTAAAATAGTGCCTAGCAAATAATAATTATTATAGTATAGAAAAAGTAATAGGCCTGGAGCAGTGGCTCGTGCTTGTAATCTCAGCACTTTGGGAGGTAGAAAAATGAAGCAGCAAACTCAGATTGTCACCGCAAATTTCTGTCATCGTGATTAGGGAGGGACATAAAAAGCCCTTTAGAGACACTTTACTACCTCTGCTTCCCACCAGCCTGAAGAGTGGTAATTGTTAGGAAAGAAAGTCTATTTTCTTCTAATTCTTTGAATTGAATAAAAGAGAGAAAAAGCTGATAAGCTTTCGAGTGGGCTGACTTTAATTAGGGCAGGGCAGGTTTGTTTTTCTTTCAGGCTATTTAAATCATGCTGTCTCTCTCCCTGTTGGCCACAGTGTCTTGCACAGGTCCTGGATGCTGTGAACTTCTGGGATGTCTCAGAACACACTGAGGGAGGTGGGACTGTCATCTCTGGGCCATGAGTCACTCACCTGCTAATCCCCTTGTAAACTGTAGCATAAGAACCTTCACCCAGCTTCTCCAAGTTCAAGTAAGACGAGGCTGCCCCAAAAGGGAGGCTCTTCCTCTGCTTTGGGGAAATGGGGGGAGGGGCATGGGTAAGAGATGGGGAAGAGAGAAAGAGCACTTTTTTGAGTGTTGACCTTTTCCCCAGGGAAATTAACATTGCTGGAGGTACTTGGGAAGGCTTGCCCAATAATTGCTCTGGAAGTAAGGGCTGGCCTTCCTAGACAGGCACACATTAAATTCATCCTGATCAACATCAGCTGCTCACTCACCCACTGAAAACCCTGCCTCAGATCCTCTTCCTGGAAACAATCGCTGTTACTCCATGGCCTTTTACTCTTGAACCTCTGGGCACTGACAGCCTGAAGTCTCCTGGGGTGAAATGAAGTCACAGAACAGGATGCTTCTTTTAGGTCTGTTAACTAGAGAAAAAGAGAAATAAAATACATACAAAGTCAAGAGTCAGTGCCTGGCAAAACCATGGTTTTTCTTTATTTGCGGATTTTCACTCTTCAAATGTTTTCTAAGCTTCCTACACCCCCTAAAGGTACGTTTCTTGCAAGTCAGATCCCTTAGAAAGACCATAATGGTGTTAACGGCTGAAATAACACATTTTTTGTTCACCTAAAAATATGTCTTCGACACTTAGGTTAACCCAAATCTCTTTAATGTTTCCTTCCTTCCTTCCTTCCTTCCTTCCTTCCTTCCTTGCTTCCTTCCTTCCTTCCTTCCTCCCTCCCTCCCTCCCTTCTTGTTCAGCTCAGGTTTTTTTTCATGTCCACTTAGTTTATTGTTTAGGGGAATGATCTAGTACGGCATTGCTAATAATCATCAGCTCCATTGTTGAAGTTTTGAATCCACAGCAAACCAACCCAAACTGCAGCTTGCCTTTTAAGGTTCGGTCCTGTAATTTAGTACCTCAGAGATTCCAAGAAAAGAACCACTTTCTCCACTTCTAGTCCACTGACTTTCGTGCAGCCCAAAGCCAAGAATTATTTTTCCCTTTTGGTTTACAAGAAAATCCCTCCATTTGATAACTGCAGCCATAAATTCTCTGTGACTTTAATAGAATTTTCTTTTTATTGGTTTAGACCTACCGCAGAGGAATCCGACCCTGCTATGAAAAGGGAGTGTCTGAACTCCTGGGTTTATCGATAGAGAAAGATGCTTCTCCTGGGATACAAATACCTCGACCGCAGCCTCCGTGGTCTCAGGTTGACTCCGACAGCTGTGCGCCTCGCCTCGCTCCGAACAGTGGTAGCAGCTGCATCCAGGCTGCACGGTCTTTGCACACAGCTCCTGACCCATAATCTTCTGGGTTCAGGGAGAAAACCTGCACTTGAACCTCTTCCCCTCTGCCTCTCCTGTCCTCCTTCACTCCCTTTTTGCCGAAGGTCAGCAGTGTGGAGCTTTCATGTGACTCACATGAGGGCTCTGCCTGGAGCAGCCTCATGACTTCAGCAGTTTTTCCTTATCAGTGCAAGAAACTCTGCATCTAAAAGGCAATTGCTGGCATTCAGACGTGCGCCACTGAAAATCACGCAGCTAGCATCGGATAGGATGAAATGGGCACGGGTTGTACTTGATCCAGCCACAAGTTAGTGCTATCAGTATACATAATTTTCACTGCTTCTCCGTGTATATTTACAGGATATCATTGATACTGACATGCATATTTATCAGGCTTTCCTGGTACTAGAGAAGGCATGTTGAGGAGAATTTTTCTCCCTGCCTTTCCTGTGAAGGCATTTTGGTTTTCAGACTTTAAACAAATTTGCTAGCTAGCCAACTTTTAGTAGTCAGGGAAACCACAGTATCATTCAACAGGAAGAGAGCTGAAGAGATCTACTTCACCTCTTGGCCTTCAAGCAGTAGTGCATCTACAGTTCTAGAAAGGTCAACATTCATTCATTCATTCATTCTCTACAGATAATGATATTAGCCAATGGTGGAGAAAGAGGAGTTTGCATGAAACACCTTCTTCCTTTCATGTAAATATGGTTAATGTTTACTGTATGTGAAGTACTATGTTAATAGCATGATACAGGCCAGGCGTGGTGGCTCCACTCCATGACGGCTTGGCGGAACCTGCGTCAATGGCCCGGCAGCCGCCACCAGAAGCAGCCCTTTCCAAGTCCTGCCACCCGCCTGCTGTTGCAGTCACAGAGTAAGTCACAGACATTCCTTGTGACCTCCCTGCCACAGTTGTAGAGCAAGGAGCCCACACTGAAGCCGGCTGACAAGAGGAGACCTTTGCTTGCCCCCAGCCTACATGGATGAGCAGAGGTTCTGGCTTTTCCAGCAACTTTTTTTTTTGAGTCGGAGTCTCACTCTGTCGCCCAGACTAGAGTGCAGTGGCACGCTCACAGTCACTCCAGCATCAACCTGCTGGGCTGAGGCATCCTTCTGCCTCAGCCTTCCAAGCAGCTGAACTACAGGTGTGTGCTACCACGCCTGGCTTATTTTTTGATTTATCATAGAGACGAGGTCTCACCAAGTTGCCCAGACTAGTTTCGAACCCCCGAGCTCAAGCAATCCTCTTGCCTCGGCCTCCCAAAGTGCTGAGATTACAGGCTTGAGCCACCATGCCAGGCCCTCCAGCAACTTCTTACAAGGTCCCATGGAGGTTCCACCATCATGACACCAGTGAGGTTGAGTGTAGAGCTGAGGACAGCTCAGAAACAGGTTCCATTCTGGGAGGATTTTGAGCCCAAGAGTCCAAGGCTGCAGTGAGCTATGATCACACCACTGTACTCCAGCCTGCATGACAGAGTGAGACCCTGTCTATAAAAATCCCTGTAATCTCAGCATTTGGGGAGGCCGAGGTGGAAGGATTACTTGAGCCCAGGAGTTTGAGACCAGCCTGGGCAGAATAGCAAAATTTCATCTTTACAAAAAAATAAAAAACTTAGCTGGCCATGGTGGTGCATGCTTGTTGTCCCAGCTACAAGGGAGGCTGAAGCAGGAGGATCACCTGAGCCCAGGAGGTCGAGGTTGTGGTGACCTGTGATCTTGCCACTGCACTCCAGCCTGGATGACAGAGTGAGACCCAGACTCAAAAAAAAAAGGGGGGGGGGGGGGGGGGGAAA